GTGTAAAAACACACTTATCAGTAGCATATGTTGTGAACACCATCATCATGCCTAACAAACAACTTGCAACATTCATTGTTACATCACCATCACTTGCCACACACTTATAACATTTATTGTCACCGCCATCAGCCCATCACCTTCGCCATTATTGCCTGCTACATACTATGTTGCATAACCGCTGTCAACGCCATCACTCCATGTTATGCCCATCGGCACACCAAACAACCAAAATTGACACCATTACCACCAAGACCACCTCTCCTAACTACCACAAAAATAAAATTAATACTCTTCACAGCTTCGGTTGTAACTCTCTGGAGCCGATTTTTCAAAGAAAAATCAATTGACTAGTTTGTTATTCAAATAGGAGGAACTAAAGAGATGGAAGGCGCCATACAGCAAACAAATATGATTGTAGAGTTCGTGGGTGGTGGTAGCAATTGGATTGCTTTTTGGAGGTTGATAATAAATAAAGCATAAGTGTCCTCAGTGGTGAAGTAGCAATTCGCCACAGGTTGTTGGTAGTGGAGTGCGTAGGAGGAGGTGCCACTGGTGGTGGTGCCGACAAAAGTGGTGGTGGGAAAGTAGGTGGTGCTGGGCTTGTTTTAGTTGAGGAGAATTCACAATAAACATGTCTTTAAAAAGAACAGGTAGAATTTGTGGAAATTTGGAAATTATGGGACATATGGCATAGTTATTATTTTGTCTACTAACCACTAATAATATCATACTCGTCATTTTTCAAGCCACGTTTCCAAACCCTGAAGGTTAAAACATTGCTAACCCCAACTCACACTGATGTTGAACTTTGCCGAGAGAATGTATTCAATTTAGACTTTCAAATACTTTTATGACTTCTTTTAAATGGCTGACTTTTGTAAAGTTGGTGATTTTTTATTGATTTTTGTAAAATTACAATAATTTTTATACACTTTACTTTTATAGAATTAGGCCGTAAGGATTTGACTTTTAAAGGCCCAAAAATTATAGACTTTAAATATATAAAGCCCAGCCCACTCATTACCGAACCCGCGATCCAATTAATATTTGCGCCAGGCTGTAT